CTGTGGGGTCCTCCGTACCCCTTATCCCTTATACAGTCCCTTTATACCCCCTATGGTTTCGTCTGAGCCCCATATCTCTAGTACAGTCCATTTTATATACTCTGTGGGGTCCTGCAAACCCCTTTATCACAAGTTTAGTCCCGAAATACCCCCTGTGGGGTCTTTATCACAAGTACAGAACCCATGTACCCCTATGGGTTCCTCAGAACCTCCTATCCCCCTATGGTTTCAATCAAACCCCTTATCTCTAGTACAGTCTGTTTATATCCTTTATGGGGTCCTCTGAACCCCTTTTCTCTTATACAGTCCCTTTATACCCCCTATGGTTTTGTCTGAGCCCCATTTCTCTAGTACAGTCAATTTTATATGCTCTGTGGGGTCCTGCAAACCCCTTATCACTAGTATAGCAAATAAATACCCCCTGTGGCGTCTTTATCACAAGTACAGAATCCAAATACCCCCTATGGGATCCTCAGAACCTCTTCTCATCTATGGTTTCATTCAAACCCCTTATCTCTAGTACAGTCCATTTATATCCTTTATGGGGTCCTGCGAACGCCTCATCACTAGTACAGTCCCTAAATACCCCCTATGGGATATTCCAAATCGATATCACTCGTACAGTCCCTTTATGCACCCTGTGAGGTCTTCCTAGCCCTTTATCTCTGCTGTAGTTTATTCATACCCACTATGGGGTCCTTCAAACCCCTTATCGCTAGTACAGTCCCTAAGTACCCTCTATGGTTTTGTTTTAACTCCTTATCTCCAGTACAGTCTGTTTTATCTCTTCTATGGGATGCTGTGAACCCCTTGTCACTAGTGCAGTCCCTAAATTCCATCTATGGGGTCCTCCGAAGCAATTCTCTAGTACTGTCCTAAATGCCCCCTATGAGGTCTTCCAAATACCTTATCACTCTCTACAGCCCCTTTATACCCCCTGTGGGTTTTTCCTAGCCCTTTATCACTGCTATAGTTCATACATATCTACTAAGAGGTCCTCCAAACCCCTTATCTCTAGTAAAGTCCCTTTATACCCCTTGTCGGGTCCTCTGCACCCCATATCAATACAGCCCCTTTATTCCCCACACCCCTCATCTCTAGTATGGTTGCTTTGTACCCCCAGGTGGTCCTCTGAAAACCTATCACTAGTGCAGTGGCTATATACCCCATATGGGGGGGGGGCCTGCAAATCCCTTATCACTAGAACAGTTCCTTTATATCCCCTATGGGGTCCTCCAAACCCCTCGTCACTTCTATAGTTTTTTTTTAATACTACCCATGGGATTCTCCAAACGCCTCTAGTACAGTCCCCTTATACCCCATATGGGGTCCTCTGAACCCCTTATCCCTACCACAGTCAGTGCATTCCAGCTGTGGTCTCCTCTCAGGCTTTTAACATTAGAAAAGTCCAATAACACCCTTTTCGGGCTCCTCTGAGCTCCTTATGTCTAGTACTACCATTCATTCCTCCTATGGGATCCTCCAACCCCCTTATCTCTAGTACAACCTCATCATACCCCTCATGGGGTTCTCCAGAACCCTAATCTGCAGAATAGCCCATTATCAATACTAGTGGTCTCCTTTTGAACCTCTGATCTATAGGACAGCCCTTTAACACGTGATTAAATCTTTTATTTTTGTTGCACTTTATTCATAGGGAAGTTAACAATGCACTTTATGAAGTAATGCACTGATCATTAATTATTGTTTACTTAGCCTTGCATTATTTTTTTACATTTTATTTACTTACTAGTATAGAATACTTGATTAGCGTTGGTTGCTTTTGATAAAGTTTTTCTTAGGGATTGATTCACTTAGCGCGGAAGGTTCTTTTGGATATTAAGCCCATTTACACTGCCGATAACTTTCTCCTAATCTGTAGTACAGCCCATTAACACCACCCATGGGGCCCCTAATCTGCAGTACAATACACTGATATCACAAGCACCTTATGTTCACCCGCTTAATCTTTAGTCAAGCCCTCTAACACCTCCTATTGGGTCCTGTGAACCCTTAATACCCACCATGGGGTTCTCCAAACCTCTGATCGGAACAGCCCAATAACACTGCCCACAGGGTTTGCCCAATCCTATTCTGGTTTCCTGATTTGTAGTAGAGTCCACTATAACCCCTGATCATGTCCTCCGAATTCCTAATCTGTAGGAAAGCACACTCCAGTAGGGTCTTCTGAACCCCTAGTCTTTAGAACAGCCCATTAAAACTCCCAAAGATGGGTTTTAATCTATAGTACAGCCTACAAGCTTCCCAAGTGGGGCGATCACCAGCTCTGATCGATATTGTAATCCAATAGTATCACTTGTAGTATTCTCTGAACTGCTGATGTGTAGTTTAGATCATTTACCCCAGGGCTGGACAAATTTCAGGTAACCCATGCTCCTTAGAAATTACAGCTGGTGCCCAACTTTTGAGGGTTTCTTTAGTTGTTGATGGAGCTGACTCCTTGATTGGACAGACTGGCTCCTAAATTCCATATTAATTTGTCCACCCCTGGTGTACCCTTTGGCTCCTCACTGCCTATTCTGTAATGACCTAGCTGCTTCCAATATGTAGAATGGCTCAATGAACCCTAATCTATAGTACATCTCGGTGAACACCGCTGTTTTGGGAAACCTCATCATCCCAGTAACATTATCACCGCTGTCCTCTGGAACAAGATGGGTAGTTTTTGGTAACCCCAATTACATTTCACCAGTCCCCAAATACTTTTAAAAGTGATATCTGTAATAAAATAAGTCAAGGCAACTGGACTTGCTGTATTTTTCTTGAAGACTTTGCACTGGTCATCCAACCAGCTTTCTCCATTCAGAAATCTTTGTTCTGAATGGAGAAAGCTGGTTGGATGACCATTGAAAAGTCTTCACGAAAAACACAGCAAGTCCAGTTGCCTTGACTTTTTTTTTTTACAGATATACCATGACCTGGATGAATGAGAACCTTCGCTGACATATAAAAGTGAATTAACACCCTATCATTTCTGAATTTCTGGTCTGTAATAATCTTATTGTGGACGTTTCAAATCTATAGTACAGTAATACCTTGGTTTACGAGCATAATTCGTTCCGGCAGCATGCTTGTAATCCAAAGCGCTTGTATATCAAAGCAAACTTCCCCATAGGAAATAATGGAAATTCCGATGATTCGTTCCAGAACCCCAAAATATTCATATAAAAATGATTACAATACTGTACTGTAATATAATACTGTACAAAATATAAAGAAAAATAAACCAATTACAGGTACCTTTGTGGCCGGTGTGAGGGGGACAAGAGAGAGGAGGATTATTGTGTAGGACCACTTTCACTATCACTAACGGAATCACTGCTATCTCTTGGCTCAATGGAATCTTTTTCATTACGTGAAACCTTAACAAGGAATCTATCCAATGAGACATTGCATTGTTGTTAAACAGACTCATCGCTCGCACTGCTACAGCCTTATCCGGGTGGCGCTTTTCTACAAAATTTTGCTCTTCTTTCAAGACATTGCTTGTATATCAAGGCAACATTTTTCAGAAATGTTTGCTTGTCTTGCAAAACGCTCTCAAACCAAGTTACTTGTAAACCAAGGTATTACTGTACCTCACTAACCTTTTGCTTGCCCCAGGATCACCCCTTTTCCCCTATGTGACTCTAGGTACCCTACTGTAACACTTCTGTGAACCTTGACTCTTCTGTACTCTACTAATTTACCCATTTACTGCTTTCACTGTCCTGTGACCACCTTCCAAACCCCTTTTCCCTATGTGAATTTAGGTACCCTACTTACTCTACTAACCCCCATTTATTGCTTTCCCTGTCACTGTCCTGTGACCACCCTTCAAATCCATATAAACCCCTTTTCCCTATGTGAATTTAGGTACCCTACTAACCACCGTGACTCTTCTGTACTCAACCCCCTTTTACTGTTTTCCCTGTCACTGTCCTGTGACCACCCTCCAAATCTGTAAAACTCTCATTACCCCGGTGTCCCCTACATTTCTGTCTCGTGAACTCAACGTGTGCTCTCCAGATAGCCCACTTAAATCCAAGAAAATTGGTTATGAAGATACCCCTTTGGCACTGTTCTCTCACTCAAATTAAAAACGTATCTCCTGGCGTTTACCATCAGCTCTAGTCATGTGGATACTTTAGCACCCGTCGGATTACTATATTGCATGATGGCTTTGCAAGGCTTCACTGCTTTTTTATCACCCTAAAATCTATCTAGCTTGTCTCCCTCCACTGTCTCTTGATCGCTAAATCCAAGTCTTCTTTACATGGTAGAACTTTAGAAGGCTGTCCAGTCTATTTCCCTATATTGAGATATTCTCCACTAACTACCTTCTACTGTCCTCTTCTGGACACAACATCTGGAAGAAGTGTAGTATCTTGCTTACCTCCTTTTGTTTTCCCGTGCCAATCATAAGCTCCATTTCTCGACTACTATATCTGAGGTTATTTTTATATACCGTCCCTAACCCCCTGCAGCAAGCAACACTTTGTCTCCTCTGTTTCTCAAGGATGGAGATGGCTCCAACATACCTAAGCCCGGGATCAGCACTGAGTATTCTATACTTGCTTATGTTAGGCTTGAGCTACCCGTGGCCCACCTGATTTCAAAAAGCGTGTAATCACTAGGACTGCAACTTT